GCTATTGAACAGGGACCAGTAGGTCTGAAGTTCCTTACCTCCCCTGTCCTGTGCACATTCTCTAAATAAATAAACAATAAAAGACTGTATGACACTTAGCACAGAAGATTATAGAATTCAAGAAAGGAAGGATGAGCACAATATTGTACTAACAGAATTTGGCACTAACACTTCCTGCATGATTCTAAAAGAACTTGGAGGAGGAGGAGTCAATGTTCAGCCCATATATTCTTTTTTTTTTTTTTTTGGGAGGGTTTTGCTTTTAGGTTGGATGCAACCCCAGACAGAAAGCAGGAAATTCCAGGGGGGGTGGCCACTCCACAATCCCTTCTCCACCATTCTCCTCTTGGGATCTTGGGCACGCACGCACACGTGCCCAGCGTGAGTTTAAGCCACCAGGTCCGGGACTCGAACCGCAGTCGACTACGTGGGAGTCCAGTGACATAGTCATTATGCTAACTGCTGGTCCCGAGCCCATGTATTCTTACAAAGGCATTTGTATCAGTGAACACATGAACATCTTACTCAAACTTAGCCTTCCTTGCTTGTTGGTAGACTCCATGAGGACAGTCTTCTTTGAAATTCCAAGGTTTGAATTCCACATGTGTTGCTGCTTTCTCAGACCTCAGTGAATAATAAGTGTCCTGTTGGCTCTTTTTTCTTTCTGTAAAGGATAAAACCATTTTCTTTGGGGAACCTGAGGGTTTGGAATGGAGTAAGGGGAAGAATGGGAGAATCCTGACAATAGGAAGCCACTTTTCACTTTCCCAGTGAAACTCATTTCCATGGTATGAGAGTTCCTTCCCAGAAAACAACATACCTTCCAGGTTACATACAATGGACCTCACAGCTCTTGGTTTTGAATTGCTGAGCTGGTCATTTATAGTTCCTGACTGTAAGACAGATTAAACAAAAGACTTTTAATAATAAATGATTGTATGATAATATGGATGTATGATAATATGGATGTATTTAACACTACTAAATTGAACACTAAAAAATCATTAGGAAAGTTAATTTTGTGATACCACATAATTTAGTTCATTCTCTTTCAGCACAATTAAGAATAAAAGTAGTTCAGCTGGTGGCTAGTGGTCGTTAAGGCAGCTGGATCCCACATGGCCTCCTGTATTATTTAAGTCCCAGACCCAGTGACTTGAAAAGTATATCCAGTGTGTGGGAACCAGAAGTTAGCGTAATGGCTATGTCGCTGGACTCCCACGTAGTCGACCGCGGTTCACGTCTCGGACCCGGTGGCTTAAATCTCACGCCGGGCGCGTGTGTGTGCATGCCCAAGATCCCGAGAGGAGAATGGAGGAG